TTCTGAATCCCCTCTGTTCATTTCCGTGGGCCTTGTATGGAACATCCACAAAAGCCTCACTGAAACCAATGCCAGATGAGCAGTGGTGTCACTTGGCTGGCTGCATCCATTGATGTGTTCAGATTGAATTGCTATGTCAGTCTGACACGAACTTGGCACCTTGCATACCTTTGAGAATGGGATGTTATGCTCCTAATTCTTAAATACATGTCAGGGACAGATTGCAATATGCATATTACTATGCCAAAAGTGCTCTGAAATTATTCAATATAATCTGTTAATAATGGAGGAACTTCTGGTAAAGCATTATTTTTGTTAGAAAACACAAATTCACCATTTTGGGAATGAAGGGCGCTAGGGGTGGGGAGTCAGGAGGCAGGTATCGAACAAACCACTGAACTTTAAATTTTCCAACCAGATATTGTTTGTTTGTCCACAAAAAACTGGCAGGATTGAAACACATTTCCGAATCTTGCTTTTCAAAGTAAATAGCTGTGTGTCATTTAGCATATGTGCTTTCATTTATTTCCTTCAGCTCCTCTGAACATATCATGTGACGGAAAGGAGGGAGGCCATTTCAGCAAAAAACACCCAGAAGCAAAGGTTCAGTGATTCTAACACAAAGCTGCACTTGAGGAATCTCTCCCATTATTTTTCACAATCATAAACAAAAAGACAAAGAGGAACAAAGATGGGGAGGAATGGGGACGGAAAAGAGGGGTGCCATGACAACCTATTAACAGACAAGGACACGAGAGGAAGGAAAAGGTCACCGTAATGAGACCGGAGGCCAAAAATCAGGTTTTCCTTGCTTGTCAGACAGAGTAAATGTTTATGTAGCCCAGTGGCCTAGACAGCTATCACTGCATTTTGGCTTATTTTTAAAAAATGATAATAATTACAGCATAAACAAAAGTATTTGTGAGATAGGTTGGGAGATGGAAGCTAAAGCTGCATTTTGTGTTGGCAACAAAAAGTATTCTTAGAATATTTACAAAGCCAAACACCTCATATCTGAATTTCCTCTCTCCCTCCCTTAAGGATTAAGACTTGCCTTACGGATCCTCTAGATGGAAAAGCAGGATATAAACAATATGATTAATAATGGTGGAAATATGAATTTATTGTAGCGTTTTTATCTCGCTTGAGGGCGTGCAGGTGAGTATATCATTCTCTCCTGCTCCCATTTTATTCTCTCAACAATCCAGTGAGTCTACAAATGACGGTTGAGAGGTCAGTCAGGTTAAGGGGAAGGGATTTCTTTCTCCTGTTGTATCTGAACAAGCGAGCTCTGCCTCATGAAAGCTCATACTGGTATATGAAAACATCACCCATCCTGACTGTTAGGGGTGGAACAACACCTTCTGAAGATTTACTTAGATATTCCCGCCAACGGGAACCCAAAGCAGCTTACAGCATTGTTCTCTCTTCCTCTGTTTTATCCTAAAAAAAACATAAGAACCCTGTAGTAGGTTAGGCTGACAGTGACTGGCCCAAGGTGAGTTCCATGACAGAGTGGCAATTTGAACCTGGATGTTCCAGATACTAGTTTGACATTCTAACCACAAAACCTGCTGACTGTCAAGTTGAGTCCCCACTCTGATCATGGCCAGAAAGAAGGTAGGGTGACAAGAACAGCTGGGACCAGATTAAAAGACACCCTCCCCCCCCAAAAAAGGCTGAGTCCTAGCCTGGAGTCCATCCTGAACCTTATAAAAGCAGAAGCAAGAATGGGAAGAGAATCCGCCCCACCCTTCTGGGCTGCTACCACTACTGCCCATTCAGGAAGGTTGAATGGCTTGAGCCAACCCTGACAAAAAGGTTGCCTCACACCTTATGCCTGAGTGCTGGTGTGCGATGAGAGCATAAAGTTCTTCCCCTCACACAGTGGCTTGTGCTCCCACCAGCAGAAGCATGACAGCCGTTACAATCCAAACACAGCACTGTGTGCACCGGTGTTTCCAGAGCAGTACAAGCAACTATTTCCCCCCTGCTCACAGTTCTCTGAATCAAATGCTAATATATTTATTAGAATACACATACATGTAATAACATAGAATTAGATTGCTCCTGGCAAGGATTTACTAAACAGTGAACAGAAACATGGCATTTAGTATTGATGAAGGATTTTTAAATTATTTTTGGTAAACGTACTGTTTAGTTTTGCAGAATGTATCCTCCTTCTTTTATACACATACGCCAACCTACCTTTCCCTAACCGTTTGGGAAAGGCCTTACATTGCTGTTGGTCTTGGAGAGCCACTGCCAGTAAGGGTGGACGGTACTGACCCAAATAGGCTAAGGAGTGGTATAAGGCGGCACATCTGTTCGATTCTCAGAATGGGAGATTGAAAAATATTTTGGCGTCATGATGACGCCAAAGAAAATAGCAAATATGAATCAAAACATGTCTAATAAGTGTTGGAAATGTAAAAAACATGAAGGTTCATTTTATCATATGTGGTGGACATGCGAGAAAGCTGTGGATTTTTGGACAAAGGTCCACAGCGAAATGCAAACATTTTTGAAATGTTCCTTTAAAAAAGCACCAGAAATTCTGCTCTTAGGACTTAGAATGGAAGAGCTGAATGTAACTAAAAAGACTATGTTATGGTATATGATCACGACTGCAAGAATGGTGTATGCACAGTGTTGGAAACAAGAAAGAACACCAGAAATAGAAGAATGGATACGAAAAATTCTGTTCATGGCTGAGATGGACAAAATTACGAAGAAACTGAATAACAGGGAAGATCTTGACTTTTTTGAAGAATGGAATGACTTTAAACTTTACCTAGAAAAAAACTGGGATGTGAAGCACAATTTACTATGTTTAGAACAATATTGAGATTAATTGATGTTATCTTAAGATGTACTGGAGGGTCAAAGGGGGAAACATTGCGGGAAGCCACCAGGAGGGAGGGGGGATATGGGAATATAGGTATTGGTTTAAGAATGATAATAGTTTTTTTTAACTGTAAGAGGTTATTTCCATGAAAATAAAAAATTCTTTTACCAAAAAAATAAAAAAAATTTCCACATCCATATTTCTCCCCTTCTGCAAAACTGTATTTGTTAGTCACTGTCGCCTGCATTTTGTTGGAATGACTCACTGCTCTTCTCTCAGGGAGCAAGTGAGAGTGGCACTGTTTTTCTACTGCTGTTTCAGAACTCAGCTCTCCTTAAGCCAGGAGTTTGTATGTGTTGAACAAAACCATTTTTACACACACACACACACACACACATATATGGAGGGGCTTTCTAGCCTGAGAAAGTTTCCCTTATCTGTCTTGCTTGGCAGTAAGATGCTAGCCAGAACGTGCCTCAAGCCGGATCGAAATCTCATCCTTGCCCATGAGAATGTTGTGGTTTCCGTGTATCATAATTGAATCTCATTTTCTGATAGCTCAATTCCCCAGTCACTTTACCCAGCAGTGACTTTCTGACTTTAACAGAAAAGCTTCTGAACATCCACATTTCCTACTAATTCCATCTCTTGGAAAGCAAATAATTTTAAATGGTTACCATGCTGCCATTGTTCAGGCAAGAACGGTAGTTTTCCCTTGATAACTTCAGCATTTGAAACAATCTGGGTCCATCACAAATTGCTACATCCAGCATGGAGTCATGGTTAGAGCTGGATTAGGATCTGGAAGACCCAGGTTGAAAACATTACTCTGCCATGAGAGTTCCCTATGTGACCTTGGGCCAGCCACTCCCTTTCAGCCTACCTCACAGGGCGGTTGTTGTAAGGATAAAATGGAAGAGAGGAAAATGATATTATATGTTTCTTCGGGTTCCTGTTGCGGAGAAAAGTGGGGTATAAATATCTAAATGAATAAACACAGGTAACAGAAAGCAGTGTCACCATTGCATGATGGCCGTCATTAGGTTTCTCCAGTCTGGAATGCATACAGGCCACTGCACAGGTCTGCAATGTGCACGGACATGACAGTGCTTATTTGGTGTAGTTTGGTGTAGCGCAGACTCTAATTTGAGAGAACCCGGTTTGATTCCCCACTTCTCCACTTGCAGCTGCTGGATGACCTTGGGAAAGCCATAGTTCTGTCAGAACTGTTCTTGAAAGAGTGGTTCTTGAGATAGCTCTCTCAGCCCCACCTACCTCACAGGGTGTCTGTTGTGGGGAGGGGAAGGGAAAGGAGATTGTAAACCACTCTGAGACTCTGAGTGAAGGGTGGGGTATAAATCCAATCTCCTCTTCTTCTTCTTCTTCTTCTTCTTCTTCTTCTTCTTCTTCTTCTTCTTCTTCTTCTTCTTCTTCTTCTTCTTCTTCTTCTTCTTCTTCTTCTTCTTCTTCTTCTCCTCCTCCTCCTCCTCTTCCTCCTGGGCATCACCTCCTGCTCCACACAGGTGAAGCACAGCCCATTACAAAGATAACACTCCACATTTATAACCACATTTATAAGACCTCAGCAAAAGAGACTTCAGTCTAAAACTATCCTAAACAGATGGGCTCTTGGGTCATACAACCAGCCCTAAGCATGCCATGCACTGAGGATGCTCGTGAGCTTGCCCCCTCCTGGTTGTCTCTGTGATGGGCTGTGCTTCCCGTGTAAGGAGCAGGAGGTGATGCTCAGGAGGGAGAGCACTTTCATGTCCTTGCATATTGCAGACCTGTGCAGTGGCCTGTATGCATTCCAGACTGGAGAGCCAGTTTGGTGTAGTGGTTAAGAGCAGAGGACTCTAATGTGGAGAACCAGGTTTGATTCCCCCACATGCAACTGCTGGGTGACCTGGGACCAGTCACATCTCTCTCAGAGCTGTTCTCTCAAGAGCAGTCCTCGAAAGAGCTCTCCCAGCCCCACCTACCTCACAGGGTGTCTGTTTTGGAGAAAGGAAGGGGAGGAGATTGTAAGCCAATCTGAGACGGCGAGTGAAGGGCAGGGTATAAATCCGACCTCTTCTTCTTCCCTGCCCTACCTCCACTACCACTGCCTTTATGTGATACCCCCCTGGTTAACTGGTAAGATCATACTTACGAGTATTGTGTCAGTAGCTCCACACTGTTATGCATGTTGATTGGATATGTCTCGCCGAGATGAAAGAGCTTCTCTAAGGCCTCGTAAATGAAAATTATGCAGATGAGGGATGCAAAAGCTTCTTCCGTGAACCGAGTGATGTAGCACACTAGGGAACTTGCATCGGTCGCCACGAGAATAATGCAGAGTGTGGCCGTCCACAAGCCAATGCTCGCCCGCAACGAAAGGTAACACAATCCATATTCCCTAGAAGGACAAGAAAGGATCACTTTGACAGCTGCAGAAATAGAAAAATGTAAAGGCTTCCTGTCCTCAGGAAATCAACTTATTCCCCAAAGGATGACAATGGACTTATGCTCCATTGCTGTGCCATAAAAACTGCTTCAGTAATAGGGTTCAGGATATTGTTGTGGAAAAGCATGCTAGCCTGTTTATTCATTCATTTATTTTAAACATTTATTAGCTGCCTTTCTACCTTGTGGCACTCAGAACAGTTTGCCCGGAGAACAAATGTGATCAGCCTGGTCCAGGAACAGCTTGCAGACAGGTACTCGCATGTGCTTATGTGGCCATCCTGTCTGTGCTTTGAAGGAACAGGAATGTGCACAGAAAAGCTCCCTCCATTGAAATGAATGAGGTAGACTGCTCTTAAGAAAAGCTCAGCACGTACATCACCGCTGTCTATCTTAGTATGTCCCATTGCTCTAACTGTACATTTGTGGTTGCCACTCCCTTGCTGTCCCTCCATTGAAGGTGGCCTGCTTCAGTTTACTAGAGCCCTCCATTTTCTCTAGTGGCTCCCAGTTTTTGATACAGGCTCTCTGAGGACACGAAGGGGCGCTGACCTTAGAAGTTCTTAGCAGGGTCTGTAAGCTGTTTCCTTTGAGACAAGAGTCTGAGCTGGAGGCACTTTCTTGGGGGAGGGTTAATGGGGCTTTATTGGATTTTGTATGTTTTAATCTTGCACTGTATAACACCTTAACCCAAAAGGGAAAGGCACAGAATAGACAGACAGGCAGTCAGTGCACGTGGGTCTCTGAGTCAGTGGGTTAGATCTTCAGCTCTCCAAGGGGAACGAAGGGTTGGATTGTACCAGTTTTTCTACTCAGTTTTAGATGATTCCCCTGTCTTATGTTGCTTTGTCCATGTGGGCCCTATGATCCCTGGCAAGCCTTTTCAGTGGTCAAAAGGGGCCCTTCTCCCTTCTTTGCCAGTGAAAAGGCTGGTAGGATCCATTATTATATAAGCTGTTCATATGACACACAACCACATTTAAAAGGACTTGGCAAAAGAGACCTCAGTCTAAAACTATCCTAAACAGATGGGCTCTTGGGTCATACAACCAGCCCTAAGCATGCCAGGCGTTGAGGATGCTCGTGGCCCTGCCCCCTCCTGGTCCCTGCCCTACCTCCACTAGCACTGCCTTTATGTGATACCCCTGCACAACTAAAGGCGATAACAAGTCACTGGGACCAATTTCCCACAGCCGCTGCTCTGCACTCGCTCCTCGCTTTGCCCCAATGGTACACGTCAATTTCCCACTCAAAGACGCGTGGCAGCATTTTGACCCGCGACTTTGCCCAATTTTGCCCACGGTTTCATAATCCTCAAAAACAGAATCATGAAACCGTGGGGAAAATCGGGCGAAGCCGCAGGTCAAAATGCGGCCACGCGGCTTCGAGTGGGAAATTGATAAGTACCATCAGGGCAAAGAGAGGAGCGAGCACAGAGCAGCGGCTGTGGGAAATCGGTCTGTATGTCTTCACAACTAACAGGAAATTAGACAAAGCATTTTACATCTCCTGCTGCAAGATATGGAATTACATTTCAGCCTTAAACACAACTGAATATAATAATACAATGGAAGATGGGAATAACGGGGGGGGGGTGTCAAGGAAAACTGGTCACTTACTTGCAAAATTTGAATAATATCTTTTCAAACACCAAGACTGGCCCCGTGCTACCTAGTATGGTAAGTGGTTGTCCACCAAAGAGTGAGTAGGCTATACCAGTCATCGATGCACCAAACAAAGATTCTATTGCACTCTGTATGGTTAAAAAAAGAGGAAAGTTATAGACTTTATTTTGGTGCCAAGACAAATGATGCAGTCTTATTTATAGCAAACGGAACATTCAAAGGCCATATTTCTGTATGTAATGGTTATAAAACATCAACCATAAATCTTATATGTAAGGTTCAGATTAAAGCACAACACATACTATACGACCTTCAGTTGCTTCTCCCAGCAGACCGCCAAATGTGATAACAGGAGACATACAAGCACAGTACAGGAACAAAAACGATGCCAGACACTGCAAGCTGAATGCATCTGTGAAGTCACTCAAGAAGAACGGAGCTTTCCTCTTGATATCTAAAATCAGGCCCCCAAAAAGCCTATGCAGAGAAGAGAACAGATACAGAAAAGACAGGTTATTAAAGTTAAAAGCTGCTGATAAATATTTCAGATACCCGTTGCCATTTCCAAATGAAATTTTAAAATAGCTTTTATTTTAAGATGCTGCACTATTAAAACAAAATATGAAAGTAATGAGACCTCTCTAAATAACCACAATGCCCTGCTATGTGCAATGCTTTCGACCCTGCCTGGGAATGTCACTTTGGCTTGGTTCAGACACACCACTAAACCATGGTTGGTTTTTAACTAAGGTTAGTTTGTGAAACCAGCATTTGGCTTTCTGACCATCACTCCTACCCTGGTTTCCCTGGACAAATGTTGGTGCCATTGCTTCTGTTCTGCCCATGTGTCTCTATAGCTGGGGAGGGCAGTGCCAGGGAACAAGCCAGGATATCTCCCGTCATACATCACTCAAAATCATAGCTAAGACTAACTGTGGTTAATAAAGCCAACGACAGTATCCTGGTTTAACAGACCCTAGTTAACCTCGAGTACTGGAGCAGCCTGTGTTTGGACAATCACACAAACCTTAGTTACATTAAACCTATGAGATGGCAACGAAGACTGCGAAGAGAGATTTCTTCACAGTCTCCATCGCATCCGCCAGCTCTTGCCCAGCACAATTGTTTAGGACAATTAGGTCTCTAGCTTCTCTTATGGAGAGAAATCAAAATGTTTAAAATTTGGCTATTAGCCGTGAAACTTTTGCAAGCTTTTTTTTTTTGCAGATAAAAGTCTCGTCACTCTGCCACGATCTGTCTGCCAGTATTGATACAGTTTGTGAACTGGAGGCCCCTTGGCTGTCTTCGGCCATATTTGACAACTTCAACCGACTCTCCCAGACTGACGCTGACAGGATCCTGGATGCAGTTAAGCCAACCACTTGCCTCTTGGACCCGTGCCCGTCATGGCTGGTGAAAGCCAGCAGTGAGGGAATACAAGGCCCCCTGGAAGACATTATCAATCTGCCCCCAAGTTCTGGGGTCTATCCAGGGGGATTAAAAGAGGCTGTGGTAACACTGCTCTGAAAGAAACCATCTCCTTCTCACACGGGACCGCAGACCGGCTTCTGTCTGCCCTTCAGCAGCTCAGCAGCCTCAGAGGAGTCTTCCTGTGTGACGCCCACCCACTCTGCTCTGGTGGTCGTAGTCCAGCTGAAGCAGCTGCAGGCTGGAGCATGCCCTGAGCAGCCTCCAAACTTGCACAGCTGCGAAGAGAGGGGGAGGGCAGCAGGCAATATGGGGCCGTCTGCAACTCTTTGCTGGCTGGGGCAGTCCATGAGCATCCTCCCCCCACCCCCGCATTCTCCAAGAATGAAAGCCAGGAATGC